TCAGTAGACTCCAACATTAACAAAAACTGAAAAATTCTCCACAAAGAATTTATTAAATACATATACAGTCAAAATTATAGTAAACATAAAACCAAAGCATTTAGTTTTGTTGTCGTTAAGCTCGGAAAAAAACAAAAAAATAACAAAACGTGCGAGAGCAAAACACAGAAATTCAACGATTAAACGTGCGAGCAAAGGGGAAAAAACGGAACACGCAGAGCAAAAAAAAAAAAAAGAAACACAAGCTAACAAAGCAAACTCATCTTGTTGTTTATAACCAGCGGGTGCGGAGGCGATTCCGCATCGTTACATATGCAACTGTGAACAGCGCGTTTCGCTCGTTGAATGGCTGACGCTCGCTCCCAATTTGTTTACTGTTATTTTTGCGTTAGTTGTTGTTGGCGTTGGTGTTGGTGTTGAGAGATTTGGCTGTCGGGAGGGTTAAAGGGTGAAAGCTTTAACAACGACTCGCAACGGCAGCTGGTTAAAGGACAGGCGGCGACTGTCACGCAACAACAGCCGCAGCGCCCGTGCCAAACAGAAGCCGCGCCGTCCGCGTAAGCGAGTGCCACCTGTGCGCAGGCGATTACACATACAGCAGCTGCACTCGAATTCCTTTGCGATGGCTGTCAAGCAGAACCCACAGGATCAGCAGGAGCAAGAGATCACCGCAGCAGAAGTTGCAGCGGCAGCGGCTGCAGCAGCAGCAGCGGCGTCGGCGGCGAATTCAGCTGTGGGCGGTGGCCCAGCAAATTCAACAGATGAAGGAGGAGGTGGCTGTGGTGCTGGCGGAGTAGACGTGGCCAATGAACTGAACGGTGATGCGGACAGCAAGACAGAGTCCGCTGCTGGAACGGGCAAGAGCTCGTGCTCCACCGAACGGCAACTGCACGATATCAATGGCCTGCTCAGCATTATGCAAGCCATCAATCCGGATGATCAGCCGGCCACGCTAATGATCTACCAGCACGTCATCTTCAATCTGGCGCGCATGCAGCTGAGCACCCAGCCGGAGGATCTGAAACGCTTCAAGGAGGAGATCACCAAGGTGGGCCAGTTCCTTGCGCTGCCCAATAAGAAGCGCTACCTCATGTTCTACTTGCGCATTGTCTATCAGCTAATCACCCAAGCCTCCTACGAGCCCTCCTGTGCCGTGGCCATTGTCTTTCAGCTGTTCAGCCCGAACCTGGTCATCGAGGCGGTGCAGCTGCTGCTCGATCTGAATGTCCAGGATGACAGCATACGCAAGACGGTCGGTTTGCTCTGCAAGTGGATCAGCTCCTGCAACTTTTGCCAGAATCTGAATTTGTGGATCATGGCCCTGCTGCAAGGGCTGCGCGAGCAGGAGAAGTACTTGCTACTGGACGAGATCGCCCTGGACAACATTGAGTCGCTGTTCATACTGATGATCTTTCCGGCACTGCGCCTCAAGGTGGCGCCCATCGTTTTTCACATGCTGTCCACAATCAATCAGTCGCCGGAGATCTTCTACAAGGTAAGAGACCTTCCATAAGGACTGGCCGGAATTTATATATGTTACGTCATCTTTCGCTTCCTAGATTCTGCCCAAGATTCCCCTTGTCATTGGCTGCATGAAGGGCCAGGACGGCACGCCCAATGACCTGCGCAGCTACATACAGAAGCTGGTTGATCTCACCAATGCGCTGATGATGCGCTTCTACGACAACGACGAGCTCTACGCGCCCATCAAGGCCGCCCTGCAGCTCTACGAGCCCTCGCCCAATTGTGTGGCCTTAGCCAGGGCGCTCTTCGAGAACGCCTTGCCCCGGAATGCGCGCGTTGGACTCGTTAATCTGGGAAATACTTGTTACATGAACAGTGTGCTTCAAGCGCTCGCCATGACCAGCGAGTAAGTGCATCCAAATGAACCCATCTATAAACTGTCTTTAATCTCCTCTTCCCCTGCAGCTTCGTGCGTCAAATCCTGCTTATTGAGAGCGGCTCCTTGTTGCTGCTGAAGGTGCAGCAGCAGTTGGCATTGATGCACCACTCGCTGCGCTACGAGCTGACGCCGAGTCGCGTCCTGAAGGCCACCAGACCGCCGGGCTTTACGCCTGGACTGCAGCAGGACAGCTCCGAGTTCCTAGGCTACTTGCTCGATCTGCTGCATGAGCATGAGATCAACAGTGGCGCGGCTCAGCACATGGACCCGGAGCTTGGCAAGGAGACACAGGAATCGGAGTCGACACTGACAGCGGAAATTGTCGCCGCCGGGGTTATACCCTACAATAGCAACGATCATGTGCACAATCAGCGATCCAGTGCAGCGGTTATGCCACAGGCCACGCCCACCTCGCAGCCCAGCCAGCCGAAGAAACCGTCGACCATTGACAAGACCTTCGCTGGCAAATTGTCGACGACCTACAAGTGCTTGAACTGCTCCTGGGAGAGCCGCAACGAGGACAGCTTCCGTGAGCTGCAGCTCTCCTTTCCGGACGACAAGGACGACTGCGGTGCTACCAATTACTCCGTACAGGATTTGATCGACTACTACTGCTCGCCGGAGAAGCTCGACGGCGACAATCAATACTTTTGTCCACGCTGCAAGAAACTCTGCGATGCCGAGCGACGCATCGGCATCACGCAGGCCCCACGCAATCTCATCTTAACGCTCAAACAATTCAAATACGATCAGAAGTATCATTTTCGCACAAAGCTCATGCACAAGGTGTTCCACGACGAGAGCGTAAGTTGACAAAGAGAGAGAGAGAGAGAGAGAGAGAAACGATGGTGTTATTTAGAAAATATTTCACATGTAGATAGATTTCTGCCCTGTTTCTCTATTATTACATTACCCATTCCTTAGTATAGTCAACATATTGCATTACCATGAAATCTTTTTGACTGAGTAATTCCAAGATTTCTAGTACATAAACAACTTATTGTAGATTAAAAAGATCCCTCATGGTATCTGTATGACTTCTATAGCTCCATATCAATTCCTAGGGTTTATAGTTTAGTTCAGTTATCAGAATTTGATAAGATGTTTGGAAAAACACAAACTCTATAAAAACTATATATATACGTATACAAACTATATATGTATATCTGTACATGCTATCAAATTATTCCTTATGATTAATATTCTTAATATAATTTCATTAATTTGAGGGACTTAACGTTTTCCTATGGATTCCTTATCTTCCTATTCCGGAGAGATTTTCTACTCCTACACTTTATAGATCCCATTGAGTTGTATGCATTAATTAGAGGTTCTTCTCTCTCTTTTTCGGATCTCACTCGCTCCCTTTCCCCAGAATTCTCATCACATCTTATCTCTTCCAGGTGATTGTTAAGGTCTGCGCCACCGACTCTCTCCAGGAGACGTGCACCGTGCACTATGATCTCTATGCCGGAGTTGTGCACGCCGGCTACAGCATGGACTCCGGACACTACTTCACCTTTGCCGCCGATCAGTCCAAGAATTGGTTCAAGTTCAACGACAGCCTGGTGACCAATTCGAAGCCGCAGGAGATGCACAGCCTGACCTCACCGAACACGCCCTACATCCTCTTCTACCAGATGTGCGGCCGGTCCACGGAGTCCTCTCCCGATGGACCCATGCATCCCATGGTGCCGGAACCGCTCGTGCCACCCCTCACGCTTGACGAGCTGCCGCGAACCCTGCGCGACTACGTCAAGCAGGACAATCGGGAGTACAGCGAGGAGCTGAAGCTGCAGCGCTTCAAGCGGAACGCCAAGCGGCAGAACGTGGCTGGCAACGGGACGATGCAGCGCAACGGCTATGAAGGAGATGACGAAGATGATCACATGCCGCCGCCCGCCGGTGGCTGTGGTGGCAATGATCTGGGCATGAATTTCAATCGTTTCGTCTACTGATTGTGGAATACAGAGCAAGACACAAATACACCCAAACACACACAGAAACACACGCGTATATTTATACATATATATAATATATATGGATTCATTCATATATCAACATATATATATATATATGTATAGATAAATTTGCATGTATTTGTGCTTTACGCTAAGGCGAACATTACGTTTCGTTATCATTGTTCCTTAACACACACACACATACACACACAGCATATATATTACAACTGTATTTCCATATATTTACAAATTTGTTATAATTTTTTAAAATTACGCATTGTTTTTTGTTGAAACACAAATTTAGTTATAGCTAACAAAAGCTAAAAAAAAAAGCATAGCGAGAATGTTATAATATTCCCTATATATACATATATATATATATATATATATATCAAATACCAAAACAAGCTTAAAAAAAAGAAACTTCCAATTCTGGCCTCCAAAAAAATAACTATATATATATATATATATATATATATATATATATATATATATATATATATATATATATATATATATATATATATATATATATATATATATATATATAATCCCCCATATATAAAACAGAAACAGCTCTATTAAATATAAGTTTGAAATGCACAAAACTAAATATTTTGTGCTTTGTAAAAACAATATCACAAGCAGCCACAGAAATCTAATGCAAGAAAAGAAAAAAAAAGCATATATACATAAATCCGTATATAAATTTAACATTTACTTTTAATGATTTGTGAATTTTTAAAATTAACACGAAAACATTTTTTTTATTTGTTGGAAAGTCATGATAAGATTATTGAATATTATTGCAATTAAATTGGAATAATTTCAATTTATATAAAAAAAAAATCTTTGTATATGCTGTAACTTATGAATATTTATCAATTACATTTATAAGGGTCTGAAATAAAAATTAAAAATAAAAAAAATTAAAGAAAAAGATTTTCATATAAAATATAAATACAGGGTATTTAATAGCGCCACACTTTGAATCCACTCAACAGTGGCGGCTGCACGATAATCATATTTTGCGTATTTTCAGCTGTACACACTGCTGGTCACACTTGGCACACATTTTGCTCCAGCTGAAATACGTCACATACACACAGACGCTCGCGCACACACATGGACACTTCTGGAGCGCGCCTATAAAATGAGCAAAACACGACGCGCTCTCGAACAGTCGCTCGACTTACGGAGATAAAACGCGGCGACCGTCCCAATCAGTCGACGTACAGCGCTGCAACAACAAAGACCACGACTAGAAGACTAAGAACTGAGTGCAAAAGTAAATAAATAGCGAGTTTTAACTGTGTTTTGATACGCGTGGCGCACAAATCAAGCAAAAACAGTGTGGCAAACCCAACTAGAAGACAAATAATTTGGCCAGCCATAAACTAAACTAAACTTTTTATGGCTCAGCAGCATCAAAAGAACATAAGCAGCAGCAGCAATAGCAACAGCAGCTAGCAAACACACAACAGCGGAAACAACAAACAACATTGCTGATTTATACAAATACAAATAGTTCACTTTTTGCAACAAAGCGATTTAAAGCACAATTGATATATTGTTGTAATTATTATAGTTGTTCTTGTTGCTGTTGTTGTTGTTATTCGAACTGCACGCAAAAGACTTTTGCCAGCTGTTCGTTGGAGCGAAATTGCGGTAAAAGTACAATACACGAAAATCGGAAAATCCAATAAGAAAAGCGAGAGTGTACTTGTGGCTGTATCTGTGTGTGTAAGCGGGGCCCCGGTCAACGTCCTGCCTAAAAGTAGGGTTATGTACGCTCGTATCCTCGCTGCTGCTATCGTCGGCTGCTGCTGAAGGTGAGCGAAGGACATTGCGCCTACCGGCTGCTATACCACGTAGTAAAGGCGACCGACCCACAGAGCCACAACTGATTATAAAAAAAAAAATACCAACACTCACAAAAGACACTCAACATGCGCATTTTTCCTGTACGCCTCTCGGCCGCCTCGTCCTCGATGGCGAGCCTGGCCAAAATGTTGGATTTCTACTCGGGCTTCAATCCGTCGCCGCTGTCAATAAAACAGTTTATGGATTTTGGTGAGTTGGTCTATTTTTGGTAAATAATTCAATGTGCTTGAGTCCTTGCCGGCTTTCGTTAGGTTTCGCTCGAGCTCTGCCATAACAAGTGCGCGCTCTCTTGCTCTCGCACACTCACTCAATCTTCTACTATGCGCGAGAACAATCTTGTATAATAATAAACACTTGATATCATTACTGACGTCATTAGATTCAACGCTTTTGATCTACATTACTTGCATAACGTGCCAAACCGAATAAATTGTTGTTGTTGTTCTTGGTTTAAGTTGGCGATTGAAAAGCACTCAAAATTAGCAGAAGCAGCTCAGTACGTGACATAGCTCGACTATGTTGTGATCTTGCGTAACGTAAGCTCACTCAACTTGACGAAAGAAGAGATCGAGAGCAATGGTTAATTAAGACGCACTCAAACATTTGCGCTCAATATGGAAAATATGCTCAGCTTGGCTTTGTGGATTTTAGATTTTTGCTTATACATAGCTGGACTGCGCAAATTGCCGTTATCTAATATTCAATTTAATTTCATTGAATAGTCAATTAAGCAGCTACTACTGTACAACAAACTGTTTACTGCGCACTGACAGAGATAGATAGAGAGAGAGAGTAATAGAGAACATAAATAAATAGCCATCTCAATTGCACGCTCCAATGTGTAAAACTATAGAAAACGGAAGTTCCCACAAATGAGCTTAGTTTTCATTAGCCGTCAACAATAAATGGCAATGAAATGCTATACTCTTGCTACAAGTAGCTTAGCCTCCCGTCCCCCGCCCCGCTGCCACCCAGGCCCACCCACCAGTTGCAATGACAACGGGCTCGTGCCACCCAAGGACGTTTCAATGTCAATTATATATATATATATGTGAATATATAGACAAATATATAGTTCCACGCGGATATATAGACAAAGTTCCTACATATATAGACATGTACATAAATGCATTTATAAGACTGTTCTAAGCTGCACGAAAACCTGCCTCAATAAGCGAGACTTTGCTAGCTGTAGTATGACACGATGTGCTACCCTGTAAGCGCGCCTAAAGTGTTATATAAGGTGAGAAAAAGGCTGTATTTGTATATATAACTTAGTTTTAAGCCAGAATAGGTTCAAAATAATTTTAAAAATCTGGCCTAAGGCTTAACTTTTTTATAGGAATTGCACTTTTTATCTTTTAAAATGCAAAATTATTTAATTTACCTAAGAAAAATATGACTCAGCCGAAAAGCAAATGTACGCAAGTCAAACAAAAAAACTATTGGAAATTTATGTTTAAAAATAAATACCTAAAAAGCAATTTTCCCAAAAAATTAAAATATATGTATGTAGTCATATAATTTAAACGAAAATGTCAAATATGGTATATATATATGAAATATATAGTTAATTTAAAAAGAAGCAAATGTATTTTTGCATATGTCTAATATTTGAAAGAAGTACCGTCTTTGTTTTTTGCACAAAGCATTTCTTGGGTATGAAATATTTTTTCGATGTGTAAATCTGATTAAAACTCAATATCTTATTAAATTGAAGAAAAAATAATGAAATAAGCTTTATTAACTGTGTAGAAGTCTAACTGGCTTATCAGTTCTATAGTTCCATTTTTTCTGAGGGCAATCGTATATAAATGAACATCAGTTTCTATGCATTTTTGTGCCTATTACCTTCTGTATAACTCTATACGATATCAATTTGTAATGAGTATTACGTCTCTTTTACTTGTGTCGTTGCTAACCTCTAAATACCGTTCGGTTGTTTTCCTAATGAGTCTACGTCTTTGTATGCCTTTCCACTATGTATTCACTATTACATCTTCATTAAGTTTCAAGCACGTAGCTGCTGTCACTCCTAATGTCTCTCAGGACTCTCAGCCCATGGCCCCATGCTGATGGGGAGGTATATAGATATATATACCCCTGCTCTCTGTCTCTATAGGGTATTACGCACGTTCCTTCCACCTAAGCTACTGCCACTCACAATATGCCCTTAAAGTATATTACTAAAGTACAGCTCGCACGACCTTCAACTCTTGCCATCGTCTCCTTTTCGCATACCCCTCCTCTTGCTATCTTTATAGGGTATCGCACACACGACCTTCTCCCCAGGCGACTATCGCTCTTTCTTAGGCATTTCACAGAAACAGCAACAACAGCAACAACAACAAAAGTTCTCAGCCAACGACTTGGAAACAATGCGTTCAAGCCAAGTGGCTGAAGGGCCTAGATGTGACGATGTCCTAGTGGAACCGGTTAGGGGGTCTGGCCCTAAGAGGAGGCTGTTGTTCTATTAATAAAGTGGGCTAGGCCAGGCCGAAGGTTTCTTCTTGTTTTTGTCGTTTTGTTATTAATAGAAATTGTACGAAAAACAGGCTCGTGGACAACATTGGAATATATATAGCCCCCATATAACCCCTAAGTAAACCCCATTATTATCCATTATTTATTATCTTTTGTTTTCGCTTTACTGAAGTGCAAAACAAAATTACTACACAATCAAATATCAATATACTTGATATATACAGACATATATATAAGTAAATGTCGACATATGTATATACCCGACTCTCCATGAACTTTCGATGCGAGCGATAAGATTTGCACAACTTTTGTGACCAACTGTACTTGAATATGCCACGACATGGAATAAATTGTATGAGCTCAGAGCAATTGCTCCATAGATAAATCATGAGAATCGGCTCAGCTGAACTAATTAACAACTTGTCGAGAGTGTAATAGATACAGATTTTGCACATATATAGCACAGATATCGTGGATTATCTTTTATGGCCCACACTTGCTATAGTATGCGAACATTTTTTGGTATTATCAGCTTGCAATATGCAAACTCTTAATTAAATACTACGAAAACACTTCACTTCAGATTGTTGCTAATTGTTATTTATTATTAAGCTTCTGACATATCAGACAGTCGAGCTTCGCTAGAGTGAATGACAAAGGTTATACGAGGGCCTGAAGGAATGTATCAGAAATTACTATAAAATTGATTCTAAAAAGGTTTTTTTAGACATTGTAAACTTTACGTTAATTAGTATAATTAGAGAGTCTTTAAATTATAGGGTATTAATAATATACCTCAAATGGTATAAAGTATAAAATATTCTATCTGAGGTGGGGAGGATAATTTTTGATGCTTATATACTATAGGATTGAACTATATGGTCTCCACTTAAACTATGTCTCACAGTAAAGTATACTGAATTCTATCAGATCTCTGGAATCATTAGTTTGCCATTTAAATTTTTTCAGTTCTTTCAAAGAAAAATTAAATTTCTTAAAATATTGTTTATTTATATATATTAAACATTCAGTTATGCCAAGCAAACTGTTCGTCTGGCTTACTTCAAAAAGCAGAAATTTCCAGTTTGACAATGCTTTAAAGATAACTCATACATATATTGTAGAATAACTAAAAAATATTCCAATATACGGTCGGCTGGTCAAAGTTCTAATGGTACAGCGAAGCTTCTATGTGTTTTAAATTATATAATGTAGAGAACCATCTCATGTATAGAATGCATTCAACTGAATCCTTATCAAAGGCTTTAGATTTAGATCTTCTATATCTGAGATCATCTTTGTTTACAAGGATAACTCACTGAAATCTCATATCAAGTGTGCCCAAAAAAACATTTCATTGAAACAGTCATTGTCGTATTAAATTTAAGATTATATATATGTATATATATATACCTATAAACGACCTTAATCACTTTCGCTATCAGTTGGCCAACGAGCAAAAAACAATATGTCAGAGCACATATAAAAAATATTTGATATGGCGAATTCGGAGGCTCGTTTTGATTATGCGAACGACCAAATCATGTGCCAAAAATGTCTATAGTATATTTCTTTCTTTTTTCAAAGAAATCAAATCGTGTGAAAATATTCATAAAAAATAAAATAACAAATTGCAGCGACTAAAGTCGACTAAATATATAAACACGAGTTTTTTTTTTGTTTTTCTTTTTTTTTTTTAATGGAAAATTTTTTGACGCATTCGTTAAGTATACGACATTATATTATATGGTATATTGAGTATACGTACCTGGTACATGACCATCTAAAGAAATGGAAATGGAAATGGCTAAGAACTGTTAGCAGCATCAGACTGAACAGCGGTTTCTAGACTTTGGGCACATCTTGAACTTTGGATCCTTCTACCAACCGGTTTCGTGTAGCCAAAATAAAGAGAGCGAGAAAAAAAAAACAAAATAAATATAAATAAATGCAAACGCAGACGTCAAGATTTAACCCAAATAGAAGAGGAAGCACAACAAAGAAATGAAAAAATAACAGAAAAAAAATTGCCAAAAAAGTCGAAGAAAAAGAGAGACAGAGAGAGACACCCCCGTGTTTTTTCTATACTCGTGATTATAATGACAGCCACACGCGCCTCGTTATTTTCCACGCACTTGCTGGCTAGACTGCAGGGTATATTATTTGATTTTTTCTTTTCAACAGTTATCTTTGATGAAAGAAAAAACTAATAAGTCTGTTTAGCGTCTGAAAATTGAGCGACATATGCTAAATTTGAGCTATTACAGAAGTCATTTGCCTCTCAATTGAGGCTTTCGTCAAGTTTTTAGCATTTGCAACTGTAAATTAATGCTGTGTAAGGCAACACAAAGTTCACCAATCCAGCAATGAGCTCTTAGCACATACAATGTATTTACATATGTATGTATGCATGTATGTGTGTTCTTTTTCGTTTCTTTCTTTTGCTTTGCTTTGCGATAAGTTTGTGTGTGTGTGCTAATTCGCTCGCACGTTTGCTTGTAGTCGGGCAAAGGGGGCCCGACAAAGGCGAATGTGAGTCGAATATACGCAAAAGATGATGATTGTCGGTAAAAGTGGATCTAATAAATACGCTGATGCCATAGCGAATGTTGCTGACACACTCACAAACATACGTACATATACATACATATAATATGCTGTGGGCGTGCCTTGCTGCTGCTGTGACGTCACTGCGTCACAGCAAAGGCTGCTCAAGTGGCTATTTTCGCAAATGAATATAAATGAAATTGAAATGGAAATAGAAATTGAATTCTAACTGTAATTGCAGTCTGTTCAGCTTATTTTACTCAACTTGAACTATCCATGACCTTGGTTCGGCTTGACTCCAGTGGGGTGTGCGTATGTGTGTGAGTGTGTTACCATTGCGTGACGTTCTGAATTATTTATTGCATTTTCCAGCACTGCACTGCGATTGAGTAATTGTGTGTTGAATGGCTAAACAGTTAACAAGACGCAGGAAAAGCACTCAATTGAGTACTAACTGAATTCGTGACGATGAAATTTGTCACCTGCCAATATCTAATTTGGGTATTCATTTATAGTATATAAACACATACATACATATACGATATTGGATCGAGTACTTTGCCCAGACGCACACATTAACAAACAATTATTTGCTAATAAAGTTTTGCTATCACGCGAGCTGCAATGAAAGTGAGGCCAGACGCTTATCACTGGCAATGCACCAAAGCGTTTGCCAAGTGTCAGACAGTTCCAATCAAATGACCAAAATCTTCTTTTTGTTTGCAAGCAGCTAGCACTCAGAACAATAACATCACACACACATGCACACACTCACACACAATTTCATCGTCATATCAAAACAAGCGCTGAAAGCGGAAGGCTACAACAAAGCATAAATAAATATTCATACATGTACATACATACATATGTATGTATTGTGAGGTCAATTTGTGGGTGCTTGTGCGGGAGTGAGGGGGACAGGCGCTAAATTGTTGCGCGTGTTTGTCTTACGATCGTGCCCATTCCCTTTCACTCGCACATTCTCTGTCTGCTCGCTCACTCTTGCTGTGCGCCTCTCTATTTCCAGCCGGTAGTTTCTCGCAAATTCTAACTGGGCTGACGTCGCTGCTTGTTTTGATTCTTGATTTTTTATTTTGGCTTGCTTTTGTTGTCTTTTATGCTCGCCGCCGTATTTACTACAACTTGTTTTTATTGACTCTGTTTTGTTTTTTGAATTCGTTACAATAGCAGCCCACACATAAGAAAATGGCCGACAAAGCTATCGTAACCCTTATGACTAACGACAATAACAACACACGCACACACTCACATGCATATGCGTGTATTTAGTTTGTTTTTTCATACCGATATTCGTCGTAAATTTATTGTGTTTGGCCCACCGTAAATGTTGACACTCTTTCGATTGCCCCCAACTGGACTCCGCTTATCGGAGAGCCTCTCACTTAGATTAGAGCATACACGCGTGCACAGCAATCAACGAAAAACAAAAAGAGAGGCGTGCCCTGCCAAATTTTGTCAACAGATGGCGCTGTACAGTTCAAGGTCTATATGTGTTTACACATAATTGTATTTGAATTCATGTTCGTTGTTTCGTTGAGTTCGCTGTGCTTATCTCTCGTCTGCCGCTCTCTCCCTATCGCATGTTGCTGCTTTCTCATTGCGGTTTTGTTTTTGTTACGAAATTGTTGACGAGACGAGAAAAACACAAAATACGAAAAATAAAAAATAAATGAAAAGTACAAAGTTTTGGCTCGGCTTTGTTATTTTTTTTTATATGTGCATAAATGACTAAAGCACTTTTCGTTTCTGGCTCTTGACTTGAGCTCGTTAATCAATTAAGCTGAAATGGAATGAAGTGGGTACGAGTGTATACTATATAAGTATATACAATTAAAACTTGTAATGCTTTCAGCTTGACAGAAGAAATTTAATTCTATTGATCAATCAAGCTAATTTTGATAGAAATTGCAAATGCATTTCTGATAAAGACTTTATATGTTTCTACATACCCAATGTCTTACCATTTACACATCGTATACTCATGACAGTGCTCTATTCCATTAAACATGCATACATACATATGTATGTACATATGTATATCGTCTATTACTAAGCCATTGACTGAGTGCATGATCGATGCAAATGCGATTCGGTTCCGACTAAATGGAACTATGATTGATAAGCCAAACTAGAACATTATATAGAATTTGATTATATGAAGAGAGTAAAAGAAATTGAAAAACCGCGAAACACATTTTGAAACAAAATAAATTTTCCATACCTAGAGATTAGTTTCTTAAATTGGTTTTTTATGCCGGGAAAAGTCTGCTCGAAGTAGTGTAAGATAATTCAATAATAATCCAAGCGATCTAGGCTTTTTACTAGAGCCATTGGGATAATTATTAGTTAAGATCTCATAAACTCTATACTATACATATAACAGCTCTATACATGCCCCATCTAACCATCTCTCTCCCTCTCTCTCTCTCTCTTACAGGTCAAAATGCATGCGAAAAGAAATCCTTTATATTTCTGCGCAAGGAGCTGCCCGTGCGGCTGGCGAACATCATGAAGGAGATTGCTTTACTGCCCGACAATCTGCTGCACACACGATCCGTGAGCGAGGTGAGCTCGTGGTATGTGAAGAGCTTCGAGGATGTGCTGGAGTACGAGAAGGTGGAGCCCACGCATGAAAATCTGCAAAAGTATGAACCTACCTATATATAAAATCTACTATAGAGAGTCTATAGCAAAAGTCTCTTTGGATTCCTTACAGATTTGTTCGCGATTTGGATCTCATTAGGAATCGTCACAATGATGTGGTGCAGACCATGGCGCAGGGCGTCATCGAGATGAAGGAGAACGAGGGCGGCAATGTGGAAGCGCCCACGGAGAGCTCCATACAATATTTCCTCGATCGGCTCTACATGTCGCGCATTAGCATACGAATGCTGATCAATCAGCACAGTGAGTGTGAAATGATCTCACTATATGTTATATATAAATACTATATCTCTCTTTCTCTCTCTGCCTCTGTCTCTCTTCCCTTGTAGCTCTGCTGTTTGGCTCCAGTCCGCATTCGCAGGGCCGTCACATTGGCTGCCTGGATCCCGCCTGCGATATCTCCGATGTGGTGCGCGACGCCTACGAGAACGCGCGCTTCCTCTGTGATCAGTACTACTTGACCAGTCCGGCTCTGGAGATCCAGCAGCACAGCTCGACCGATGAGGGCATACCCATACGCACTGTCTACGTGCCTTCGCATTTGTACTATATGCTCTTTGAGCTGTTTAAGAACTCGATGCGCGCCGTTGTCGAGCATCACAACCAGGACAGCTGCGACTCGCTGCCGCCGCTCAAGGTGCACATCTGTCGCGGCAAGGAGGACATATGCGTCAAGATCTCCGATCAGGGCGGCGGCATCCCGCGCTCCCAGTCCGATCAGCTGTTCAAGTACATGTACAGCACGGCGCCTCAGCCATCCAAGTCGGATCTGCACACGGTGCCGCTGGCTGGCTATGGCTACGGCCTGCCCATCTCCCGGCTCTATGCTCGCTATTTCCATGGCGACATTGTGCTGCTGTCCTGCGAGGGCTTTGGCACCGATGCCATTATCTACCTGAAGGTTAGCTCCATCCTTATCTCTGTATTTCGCCTCTCAACTAAGTTTCCCGTTACTCTCGCTTTCAGGCACTTTCCGATGAGGCCAACGAGCTGTTGCCCATCTTCAATAAGACGAGCTCAAAGTTCTATAGGGCCACGGTGCCCACAGGTGACTGGTCCAATCAGGTAAAATACGTTAAGAAGAAGACGAGCGTCGTTCGCCAATAAGACAGGCTGTGTCAATGTGTGCGTGCGTGCGTGTGTGTGTGTGCAGCCAAATAATCCCGAGTCAAATCCCCTCCCAGCATGTGGATGATGGAACCCTCGCTTAAGCCCAAAGTCGTAAAATTTATTTAATTTTAAATTAATTATTTGTTAAAAGCCTAATTTAATGTATCTTGTCTATATGTTTTCCCCGATCCCAACAACTAATTTTGCATTTTGTCATTGATTGAGTTGACATTCCGAAATTCTGAAAGATTTCGCAAGGGTTTAAAACATGGAACATAGGCTTTCCCTTTGTTTTAGTTCTTAAGCACGATAAAGTCTTATATATTTTATATACAAAATATATAAATATATATACATGTACACATAAATCCATATTCATATTTATTGCAAAGTCTATTTACCCAATGCATAGACAGAGCATATAAAACAAAGTCTTGAAACGATTTACGAAATTAGTCTTCTCATTATGTGAATTAGTCTGTAAGCTACGAGAATATAATTAAATTATATATATGTTTTATCGAGCACACACCTTATAATAATATATATACACACCTGCACATATACCCCATACAATAGAATACATTTAATGCTATTTATTTCTTAAGTTATACTGAAGTTTTAATTCAATAAACTGGTTGAAATCTTTATACACCCAACACATCAAACCAAATTTTTGTTGTTTTTGTTTTTTGTTTTTTGTTTATCCCAATTTATAGCTAACCAATTAACCAATTCCTGATAATCCTATGGTTTCTGGGTTTATATTAAGGTGAAAACTTTTTTATATAAAAGATATCGAATTTTTAATGCGAATAACTCAAGTTTTATAAGGCTATTATTTAAGGCATATATCTTTATTCTGCTGGGGAGACTCACGAGTCTGAACACATATGTAGTTTTAAGATCCGGATACATTGGCCTATTCAAGATTCTGTTGCAAATTGGCATAGTTTAAATTGGATATACTTTGTTTGATTTTGAAACTGGAAATCGATGAAAAATTTTACTAAATTCCCACATCACAACTTGAAAATAATTTAAAATTGTTTAATTTTTAACTTACCGAATTACGTATACGTATGTATGTATATTCCCGAGTTATCGTAAAAAGTTCTTGCCTCAACGTAGCATACTTTAGGGCTAGTTCTAAAAGGTCTTGCTTGCTGTGCCTGTTTGGTCTATCCCGTACTACTTCCTTCCTTCCTTATCCTCTTTCGTTGTCGCGATTTCTATTAGTTTATTACTTTTGATATTTCTTTCAGCTTCTTTATTTCTTTTTTCTTTTTATTGCTCTTAAACTTCTTTTCATTAAATTTCTTTCAGAACTTTTCCAATCGTTGGCGTTATTTATATGGTTTCTTGAAAAATTTATGAATACTCTTGAAAGACTGCACCAATTGTATAGGGTATTTCAACTACAGCACTGCTTAGGAAACTATTCAATTTACAATTTTTAATTAATTTTAGTTATTTATAAATGAAAAGTAGAAATTATACAAATTATATTTAAAGATGGATAAGGATAGAGGCTAACGAATAATTCGGTCGTGAATTTGATGAGAGGCAACTGAAACTCAATTCAGACTTTTCTTATAAAGATTTAACTTATTTAGTTATTAAATTAAAATTTTGATTTGCTTTAAATAAAACTCTATAAAGAACTCTTGTCCACTATATACCCTGTAATGCTGCTAATGGTGTTGGTTCAAGCACAAAGCCCACACAAAGCATTTAAATTTTAGGAATTTTGATTGTCTAACTGAATTAATTGATTGATTGCAGAGCTCGGACATGAATGCAAGGCAGCTAAATGCGACCATATCGAGACGCTACAGCGACTTGGAATAGAGAATCGTCATCAAAAAAAAAAAACACTCAGGACAAACTGCGAGCAACAATAGATTATAATACAGAGAACTAAAAGATATATACACATACAAATATATAAAGAGGGAGAGAAAGAGAGAGCATATTATAAAAGTATATATATATATATATATATATATATATGGTATATATACACTATATCACTAGACCTAGGCAAACTGCATTCCCAGACAACGGCAACAGCAATGACAACGGTTTTGTATTTGAATTTGTATTCATGGCAGTTAAAGCGTTAAGTTTTTAAAATTGTTGAAATAAAACTGTTAAAAACCAACCAAAACTGCATATTTTATGAATGAAAATGGAAAATCAACTATTTTTTAAGCGCTACATTTTATTTTTACATCATAATAAATATTGTTCATGTTGCAGAGATATATATATATATAGATATAGATTGATAGACATATTTATATGGAATATCTGTTAGATTATAATAATATTCATTTAGTTTTCCTTTTTGTTTACAATTATTTTATACAAAATTCTCACATTTAGTTTGTTTAGCTTTTGCACATTATCACGAGATTTCGTTATTTATTTTGCTCGGCATTTGACATTGATTTAAACTATTTAACTAGAGCAACAATTGATTCGTTTAAACAAAGTGCATTGGATTCGATAATATAATATAATATATATATATATATATGTATAGACTCATATATATATATATATTTAATAATCATACATAATATGCAATATAAAATTATATAAACAATAATACACATATATTTATAAATCAAGCGCGAAACTCAAAAAATATCTCAACGAACAATTTCTCCTTACGCAGCAGGCAAATATATATACATATATAAATATCTCTATATATATATATATGTAAATTGCAAATAGGCTATAAATAGCTATAAACTGTATACGCTCATATATATAGTAACACAACTTTTCATTCGGATCGATCGATATTGCAGCAAATGGCGTAGTTAGCACCGCTTTCGATCTACTGCTGCCGCCGCTCTTCCTCTTCCTCTTCCCCTTCCTCTTTCTCCTTCACTTGCGCAACGGATCCAAACTCTCCAATGAGAAGTCATCAATGTTAAGTTGACTCTGAAATCATATATAGATTATGTATAAATAGCTGTGGTATTTGGTGTATATTTATAGGGCTTTATAAGGCTATATATTCATCTTTCATCAGTCATATATCTCCAGTCAATCATATCACTCCCTCAACTAATTCACTACATTCCAAAATCAAAATGCTAATCTCCACTCAATCATGCCATCAATCCTCTTTATCGAATTGTTCTCCTGAATTCCTGTGGATTCTTCAGCCTGTCAATCACTCTCTCAATCAAAGCTCACCTTGAACACGCTGGGTCCGTTGTTCATTTCGAATGGATCGGAGCCAAACAGATCCGTATTGCCATTCAAGCCATTGTTGCCGCTATTGGACACCGAGGTGCTGCGACGTGGTGCCGCAATCTTTGGCGGCGGTGCCACTGTTGATCGATCATGCAAAGAAATGAACAGTTATTGATTGATCACTCTCAATACATTTCAAATGGACCTACATAGAGGTGGCGTGATGTTCAGCTCGCTGGAGAAGCCGCTGCTGTTGATGCTGTTGTTGTTGTTGTTGTTATTTAGGCTGCTGTTGTTGTTATTTAGGCTACTGTTGTTGTTGTTGTTGTTGTTGAAGAAAAGCTGCTGGCCAAAGCTCTTGGATGGCTCAAAGCCAAACAGATCGTTGCTAATGGCATTACGTCCATTGCTCAGATTATCCTGTATCTCATCGGCACGTGGATCGAAATCACTATCCGAATCCGAATTCAAGAGCAGCTCGTCCATTTTCTGGCTATTGCTCTTGCCACCACCGCCGCTGCTGCTGCTGCTCATCTGGCTGGACAGATTGCTCCGCGGCGGCACAATTGGCAAGAACGAATTGGGGGACGACGAATGTGTCGAGGAGGCGGTCATCGAATTGGTATCAATCAGCAGCTTGTCCTCATCTGGCCAAAATGATTGAAAGGTTTAATTGAAGTCTACGTTTGGCATGATCAATCAAGACTTACCCAGCTTGCCATTGCTCAGCTGTTCGGTGCCATTCAGCTCCTGGCTGGGCACCTCGACAATATCCTTGACGCCCAGCTTATAGAGCATTGCATCCAGCTCGCCCTTTGGCAATTTGTTCGACAGTTCGCGCAGTCGCTCTTTGTATATCGAAATTGTCTGCTGCAGATGCGCAATTTGTTGCTGCGCCTTGTGTAGATTTGTCTTCTCATTGCTGTCCATGAATTTTCTGTGCAGAGGAAAGAAGAGAAGAAGTGAGTGATTGATTGACTGATTGATGATTGGTAAAACCCAAATATAGCTTTTTTGTTTTTATAAAATGAAGTAGAAAATCGAATGCTGACTGCATTGAAATTGAAACCGTATTGACTGATTGAATGAACGATTGATGATTGAAGCACAGCTTGAACTGTAGGAGCTAAAAGCCTGCATCTGATTTCAGAGAGAAATACTGACAAAATATGAATACCTAAATGAAATGCCAGCCAATTCATAATGATTGATAGACTGAATGATTGATGAACAACACACAGGCTAAACTATAAGAGCCAGACAGCTGAATCTAATGGTAACAACTCTAAACTAATTTCTATACATTTTCAATGCCAATTGAATAGCTAAAGGTAAGCCAAACACACCTGTAGGCTAAATCGAAGGCCTGGCCAATGGTCAACGTAATGTCCGAGGCCAATTTGTTTGATATGAAGACAAAGCATTCGTGCGTCTCCTCCGGCTTCGCGTTGCCATTCGAATTGTAGCCGTTTATGTCTGTTGCGCCATTATCTTTCGTCTTGATTGTCTTGGCAATGAAGCTAAAGAACTTTTTCACGCCCTTCTCGTCCGCACAGTACGAGATGTTGTACAGCGGAAACTGATGAAGTATTTTGTGTGTGCGCGGCTCCTGTATGGCCACGCCCTTGATGCTAATCGTAATCTCCAGTTTCTTAAATTTCTCCTGTGTTCCCGTTTCCGCCTTCTTCATTTGCTGGGCGAATTGTAATTTACGTATTGCATCCTTGACCACTTCGATGCCTTTGGGTTGGTCCACGCTCAGGTTACCAAAGAACTGTAGAGATAGAGTTAGAAGTGGAAATATTAGAAAAGGGACTTTTTGACTGGCAGATACCCTATAGCATGGTACTTATTTCTTCTTGGATCCTTATTCTTCATAGGCAATTAATTTCTTGTTAGCTTTAGATTTCTTATATCTCTCTCTATGAATCGGTCTCAGACTTAAACTTGTACCAATTAAATATGGTACGCTGTAGTTTTTGTAGATAAACTCAAACCTGTCTTTCTCGAACCTTCGATCCCATATACCATGTTTCTTATAACATATACCATGTTTCTAGCATTCTCTACACATTGCCTATACCCTATATATATTTATAGCCCATATAGACTTGATTTATTCATTATACAGCTTTATCGAAGTCCCTAAAACACTTTTAACGGGGTGTACAACAGGTCTAAATAATGCAAAATACAATTTTACTTCAGACATATGAAGTGACCCTCAATTTGACTAGATTTATAGTATTTAATAAGCAGATTAGACCCTCTACTACTTGATCTTGAGAGTTGTTTTTTCTGAGTATGCCCATTCTTCTCTCTCTCTCTCTATCTGACTCACTCTCTACTGCTATTATCTATTACATTACAGAGTACATCCAGTCTTCTCTCTCTCTCTCTCTCTTTACCTCTGCAGCAGTGCTTAACCCTTCATATACAGGGTATTTATTTAATTTCCCCCCTACCCCCTCCCCATCATTCTATCACTCTCTTTCTTCATCTCTCTCTCTCTCTCTCTCTCACCTTGACTAGATAGACCGCATGTCCATTGATGAGCTGCTCCGGCGTGTGCAGCCAATTGCGTTTGCCGCTCTTCGAGTCGCCCTTGGAGTTGCCGCCGCTGCCGCTGCCGTTGCTGGCGCTGTTGTTGCCGCCGCTGCCGTTGCCGTTCGCATCGCAGCCGTCGGATGAGTCTTGTAGCTGTTGCAGTTGCTTGTCCTGCTGCTTGCTGCTGTTCTGCTTGTTCCAGAACTTGAGCTGCGACATTTTTGCAGCAGCTTTGCTGCTGGCGCTGCTGACGCCGCCGCCGCTGCCGTTACTGCCCGCTGGCTGATAAGGCATCTCTCCCGCTCTCACTTTGCTGTGCTTGGCCGTTTTTCCGTTTTTATCTCTTTAGGGTTTTCGTCGTTTTAATCTGCTCAGCTCAGCTTGGCTCAGCTCAGTTCAACTCTGTAAAATGAGAGTTAAAAATTTCGTTTAGAACTTTGCTCGATTGGCGATTTTCCATTGGATTTGTTTGTCGTGCGGGGTTTTTCCCTTTTGTTTTGTCAGCGGAAACTTAATTTGCAAAAACAAAAAATATGTATAAAAATAAATTCCAAACGTCTTGTCCCCAGACATTTGCCATTACTAATTAATTCGTTCGTTATACAACTTGCAATGAATCTGAATGCATTCCTTGCCAGCTGGTAAGCCAATCCCCCAGTGCATCTGCATCTACACAAACATACATATATATTTACTTATATATGTATGTACATTCGTCAAGCGTCAGCTAAACCAGTTGCTCATGCAGCCGTCAGCAGTAAGCGCTAAAATAGCATTAGCAAGTTCTATGTGCTAGAAGACAGTGATGCGCACTTGGCTAGAATTTTCACAAGCTCTAGCTATCTTCCATGTTCAAGCGGCTTCGAAGTTCGAATATAAAACGGAGTTTTAGCTAATTATATTTTTTTCTCTAATTTTTTTCTGTATGCAAGATTTGGCTATTTTAATTGGCACTTTTCTAGCTATACCATTACATATAAGTTTACTAAATCATAGTTAAGATGCCTTCATTACTTTTTGTTAAGCTTCACATTTAGCTTTTTTATGGCCTTTTCTTCAGCTAACTTGCGCAACACTGTCTTACATCAACAATCAGCTGGCTTTGACGTCACAGTGCGGCCTTTAAAGACAAAGCCAAGACAACAATAAGCCAGAGTTTCTCAGAAGCAACTGCACACAATACACACGCAAACACAGACACACACATACAAACATGAAGTTGACCAAAGTTGGTATTAATAAAAAGCAAGAAATATTTTATGAGATTCTCGTGCAATTCTCACATTTCGTGTTGTTTCTTTTTTTCACCAAGTGTGTCTCATAATTAAGAAAAATCTTGCTAAATATAATAAATAAACCATTGTTCATATATGTACATACAGTAGAAATACGCTGCAACGGAATCTAAGCTCATTTATTATTTTACTCATTGTTCTTTAGGCTTAAGAAAATGTATTTATTTTCGCAATTCTGTTTTTGTTTTGTTTTGGCCAAATCTTCATTTTTTAAGGGGACTCCCAGCAAACAGGTTTTATCGACTATGCACTATAACGTATGCGCACTGTATGCATGGACATGAGTTTGATTTATTTTGAAGCTGATTTGGGAACTGGCAGCGAGGTATTAGGCAACAGCAGCAACAACAACAACAGCAACGGCAATAATGGCACAAAAGCGAAAGCAAAATTATCCAAAAGCGGCGACAACAACAACAATCAACAAAAGCAGCAACAACGGCACAAAAATAGCACAGCGTAGCTTAACGAAACGAAATGAAAAGTGTAACACCCTGTATTTGGCATGGCAATTGTGTGCGGAATTATGGAGCCGCCGTCACCGCTGCCGCTGCCGCTGCCGTCGTTGCCGCTGACTGCTGCGCAATCAACTTAAAATTAAAAATATAAAAAAAAATTGATCAAAATACATAAGCAGACGCAGCGCTCAGCTGACACCAGCGTCAACTGCGACGAACAACAAAAGAGATAATGTCGACAATTCGTAGCCAAACCGCAATGACGTCGCGACGTCTATGTGGACGCTGACGTTGACGCAGACGCTGACGCTGACAGCTTCACGGAAGTCAACGACGCAGCCAACCCCCTTCGTTGAGTTTAGCATGCAGAATGCGTATGCTGTTTATGCGCACAGATTAGAAAAGCCAAACACAACTCAACGACAGCGCAGCATTGTAATAATTGTATATGCAGCACATGGAGGTAGGCAAAGAGGAAGAAAGAGCGGGGTAGATCAGTACGTAGGAGTGTAAAGTACAGACAATGGGATTATTGCGGTACTTCTATGTGTACTGACTGTGAAATTTTTGTTGTATACCATTTCGTTCAGCTCAGCCATCTTTATCTTCTACTCCCTCACTCTCTCTCCTTGCAGACGTTAATAACATGCTATAATTTATTTACGTGTTGGTAAACGTTGATTTATGGTTTCTTCTGTGGCCTGAAGCAGCACACCAGCAGTAGCATACTTTCTTTTAGGATTTTTAATAGGTGTGCCACAGGTGTGTTTACGCAAAACCAACACCGAAAACAACGACAAACTAATGTTTGCTTACGAATGTGCGTCTCTTAAGGCTTAAGCCATTGCACAAGCAAACGATTAACAAACAACAATATCAACAACAACAATAATACAAGCACTGGCGGCGCTTTTGGGCCAAGTCAATCAAGAAAACAATAAAAACTTTCATAATTAGCGGGCGCTGCGTACTGCGTACTGCGCTTGCGTGTGTGCGTGCGTGCATAGCAAAAAGTGTGTAATTTAAACTTAATCAAACACACTGACACACTGCAGACAATTATATTTATAATTTTGCATTTGCACTTTTGCTTTTCTTTGCGTTTCTTTAACTGAAAAAACCACGCATACCGTTTGCTTAGCAAGGCGTTAAATTGATGTTAAAATACGTTTCTTTTTTTTTTTGCAACAGTTTCGCAGTATTTTACAGAGAGTTACAGATTTTCACCGCTACAGCGCCACGGCGCCAACACGTAACGTACACGTCGGGAGACAGCTGCGTACTAAACAACAAAAAAGCAAAGCTTCAACTTTTTCAAGTCGTTTCGTTTAATTCACTTGCATTTGAGCTCAACACACACGCATACACACGAGCGCACACATATGCTCACAAAGAGAAGAAGAGAGGGGAAGAGAAACACAATAAACAATTGTTAAGATTGCCGCTCGCTGCTGAGATAAATCGAGATTAGAGCACACAACGGCAACATACATAGATGATGCCGCTTCTGGCAAGTGCGAGAGCACTCCGGTCATTATAAAAAAAAATTAGTTATACAAAAAATTAGTTATACAATTTGACCGCAAAAATATTTTTAAACTTCACTTTAATATTGCATTTAATACACACGAATTCGCTCTCCTTGATCCCACTCATAACGTTCAATCACACTCACTCACTCATACACACTCTCTTCTCATATTTTTCTTTCTCTCGCCCACACAAACTGGAACTCTCTCGCAGATGACAGTGCAAAATGAACAACAACACACACAGCTGTAGCAAGGAGCAACTCATTAAATGATTTATTTCCAGTGTATTCCGGATTTAGATTCTAAATTTGGACAATGGGCCAAATTTACATACATCTACATGCTTTTCACTTGTTAAACAATTTTCGCTAGTTTTACTCGTTAAAAATGTGAATCTTGCCTTGTGCGCTGATTGAAGAAATTAGTGCAATTGATGCGATGCGGGCGAGAGTGCGCAGCTGGAGCTGGAGGCTATACAGTTGCGGCTGTGGCACAGTTTTTACAGTTACACGCGATGCACAGTGGACAGATAATAATAATAATAACAACAACAACTATCACAAAATCGGCAACAATGGCGGGACGCTGCGGCTGGTACAAACACTAATACAGCAGCAGCAACAACAACAGCCGTTTAGATTTTGCGCGCTCTCAGTCTCCTCCTGACTAACTGCCTGTTTTGCTCTCTCTCTCTCCCTCTCGCTCACTCTCGGTTTTGGGTGATGCGGACTCGTCGCGAATTTATTTTATTTTTATTTTTTGTCGTATTTCGTTTTATTTTCTTAATTTACTGCGCAAATTTACAACAAGCAAGATAACAGCAGCCGCAGCAGCAGCAACAACAAAAAACACATCGACACTGACGATGGAATATCCTCACCACCTTCACGGTCCGTCGATTTGTTTTTACCGATCACGCGCAAGAGACTGAGGCTCGAGCTGCCGTTGCGTTGACCAAAAAGTTATGAGGCCGTTTCATTTTGCACCTGCCAGGGCTGCGTACTCACTCGCACACAGTACTCAGCTCAAGTGGCAGTCAATTGCAGTTGGCTGCCAAAGTAATGCGCATGTCCATCCCACTGAATGGCCGATTTCCAGTGAGCAACTCTATTTGAAGCAGGCGGAAAAGCTAATGAGCAAAAAAATATTTGACATGCAGCCCTGGTTTCTGTGATACATACGTAAAACTAGTTATTGCTCGCTTACGATTTGAGCATATGCTTGATGAACCTAAAGCATGCGCTACATGTGCAAAGTAATATTATAATATGGTGAGGAAATTTTTACATTTACACAACATTTAAATTATTCTATTATTTAAATATGAACATGAAACAGTAATTTAATTTAGAATGCTCTGTCGTATAAATAGTGTATTTGAACAAGTAATTTTCACATTGACCTAATGAACTCATATACCTGACCACTTCTACTGTAGGGGATTAAGCGTAGTTTTCTCTTTTGTGGTCGAAGCACCGACACATACATAAGCGGTATGAGTAAGCGCTCATTTGTGCGGCAGTGTGTGCGTGTGAGTGTGTGTGCATTTAAAAGTTTTACCTGTTGCTTTTCAATTGTTTTACACTTTGATAGAAATTATTTTGTGCACAATTTTGTTGGCCCAACGTTTGTTTGCATAGAGAATCCGTTAAAACATCAAGATTCGTAGAAATAATTACAACAACAGGTGGTTAAACACACACAAGAAACAAATCGTTTACATTTTATAAAAATGTGTACGAGTGTGTGCGCGCGAGTGTATGTGTATGTGTAAGTGTTTGTTTGTAAGCTTTGCTTGTGTAAAACAAAGACCTGACTTGAAGACAATATTGTTGTTGCGGCTGCTGCTATAGAGAGGGCAGAAGACCAAAGCTGTAGCGGCAGCATACATATAAATACATTTATAAGCATATACACACATACATATGTATGTATGTTTGTATACATGTAGGTATGTATATGTGTGCATACACATTTGTGATACGTAATTTCTTGGGGTTTTGCCTTTGGTTGGTTGAATTGCAATAAAACTGGTTTCCTAAGTCAGGCGTATAATGTACGATGTACCATACAAATGCATGTCACTATGTACATACATGCATGTATGTTTGTATTTAACTGTCCACATACGAGGATTTTAATTATGGTTGTCGTTGCTGCTGGTAAATGCATGCCGTGCATTTTTTTATTTTGTTCATCAGTATTTTCCATCAATTTTTGCCACATTTTGACTGCAGCGTTGCACGGTAAATTGCATCGACAGGCCAAGTGTGTTGATGCTCCCGAAACCGGCTTAACATGTACACGAGTGCATGTGTCCGTGTGTGAGCGTGTATGCGAGAGTATTCCAGGCTTGCGAATGGCATCCCGGTACCTGCGACTTTAGCGCTCTCATAAAACTCAGTCATACTGTCGCTCAGCACATCAGTAACTAGTACAAAACTAAAGAGAGGGAGAGAGCGTTTACAGTTAGGCCATGGCTGCATTTTGCCATTTTCGTTGCCTTTATTGCAAATTCATTTTTGTTGTTTTTTGTTTTCATTGAGAGGCTTTGGCTTTTCTTTCAGTCCGTTCCGTTCCGTTCATAGGGCGACTCAGGCAAATTGCTGGGGCGTTATTTTTGTTTTGCTTGTGTGCTCATGCTGATGTCACACCCAACGCTGCCCCCGCCCACCCTGTGCTTGAGACAGCGAGACCTTTGTTTTTTTCCTCCACAGATCATGCAAATTATAAACAATATTGGCATTTAATTTTTGTTATTGCGTATCATTGTTATCGATGTCGTCGCCGCCTTCTTAGGGGCGTTGACTGCCGCCGAGCACAGGGTACGGCTTGTTTGTGTTTTAAATCGAGTTCTGTTACTTGTCGCCGAGTCTGACTTTATCAGTAAGGTTTCGTTGAGTTCAAAGGCCCAATTAACCAAATCCAATAAGAATAACAGCAGCAACAACAACAATTGGTAATGGGCGTCTGCTTAAAATTAAATGTCATAAAAATGTTATTGTAAATATGCATTTATCAAATGACAGCCAGTTTTCCCATTTCGAGACGTGCTGGTATTTCTAAAGCGCAATCTTCAAAAAAAAAAAGAGGAGAAATAAATAAATAAATTAAATAAATAACTACTTTTTTATAAGCCTAGAGTTAGTGCCGGCAGCGACGTCAGCTGCGCTGTTAGGCAGCATAATTTACATACGTGACAATGTTAAAGCGCAGCTCAAGTCACGTTTTTGCTTCACGCTTTTTTTTATTTTTATTTATTTTGTTTTCGTTTGAATGCGACGGGCGGACGGCGACTGCGCTCTTATCGCGCCTGTGTAATCACTGGCACTGTCTGAACCGTGATCACCCTGTGGCGGCTGCACTTGCTGCTGCGCTTATTTCGCTCAAAAAACAATTCGTGATCTGGCTTTGGCCTGACTTGGGCTTATCAGTCAGCGCACACTTTCGAGCACTGAACGCCCCCAACACATACATGCATATGCGTCTGTGTGTGTTTGCAGAGTAATTCAATTATTTTGTATATTATTTTCAATGCGACAATAAAATAACAAGCGACAATAACAACAGCAACACAGATAAGTTTTGTCATTGTTGCGATTGTTGTTGCTGTTGCTGCTGTAGTTGTAGTTGTAGTTGTTGGCGCTATGGCACCGACTGGCACAGGCAGAGAGCAATTATTCTGTATTCCGCTTGGTCGCTTGGTTGAGATAGTGTGAGACTTCCGTTGAATGGGGGCCAGCGGCTGTGGAGACTCGGAGGGGCAAACGGAAAAGAGCGAAAGTTTTGTTTTAGGAAAAAAAAAAATAGAAAAAAAAGGAAAACAATTATAGAAGGTTTTTGTTGTTGTTGCCGTTTTTCTGTTTATGCAACGCAGATCGGGTTTCTTAATGGCATCATAAATTGCAGTCGTTGCACAAAAAACAAAACAATAACGTGGGACAAGGTCATTAAATGCATATGATATAGGAAAGTCTTGACATTTAAATTAAATGTTGGCGCGCTCCGTTGCCTTAGCACATTAACGTTTTCCCCGTAGTGTGGCAACTATATATGGTTCTGAGCTCCGATCAACAGCTGTTTAGCACAACACTGTTACCACTTTCAGCACTGTGGCAGCACTGCATGGTTGTAAACTCCTCTCAACAGCTGTAAAGCATTAACAGCTCGTTGCACACGTACAATCGATATGCGCGAGCAGCGCTAACATTTCGATAGTCAGTTGCGCGCATATCGCCCGACCACCGCGATTTGCTGAACGTCTTAAAAATATTTATAATTGAAACATTTACATTTGTTCGCTAATTTTCACATTGCATTTAGCGTGGTCGCGTTATTAATATAATAGCAAAGCCAGCCATACGTGCGCTGCACACACACACGCGCGCGGGCGAGCAGAGTTTTGTTTACCTTTTTTTCCCGTGTTGGATATCGAGAAGTTTTTGCTGCTGCAACATATGTACACGCACATATGTAAATAGATAGGTTTACGTGTGTGCCAGTGTTTGTGCGTGCATATTGTATATATGTATATGTATATAAATATATATAGTGTGTGTAGAAAATGGCATTTAACAGTGAACAGTTAAGTTAATGCGCAACGATGCAGATGCCGTCGCCTGCAGTTGCTGCGCTGCCCACCAGGTGTTTATTTTAAGAGTGTGGCCCCAAAAAGGAAAACAACAACAACAAAAAGCAACGAAACGAATCGCAAAGAAAATCGTTCGCGAGCTGTTCCACATGGAAAACGAGTCCCAAACAATTGGCTTTTCCCGCTCCCGCAGTCGTAGTTGTTGCTGGATATGAATCTGAATTTGAATCTGAATCTAAATCTGCAGCAAAGTAAGTAAAACAACGTCTCCCATATACTAGCCTCCTTCTCGTTCTCATTCACTCCCGTTCCCATTCTTTCCCTCCCACACACACACACAAAGTCATACACACGTACACATGTTTACGCACTGTGTACATAACATAATTATCGATGAGCTGCGCTGTTATCTCTCTCTGATAAGTGCGCTGCTTCGATTAGCGTTGCCGTATTGGTTTTCCAATTAGATTTTGTTGTTAGGTTTTTGTTGTTGTTTTGTTTTGTTTTGTTTTCACTCAAGGGCATTTTGCTTTGCGGTTTCTTTGGCACAATTTCTTGTTTTTTTTTTCAGTTTGTTTTTATTTTTTTGTGGCTCGTCTGTTTGTTATCCTGTAAAAAATCGTGTATTTGTATATTTATTAAGTGTCATGTCTTATTTATCATACTCATTCCTCTGGCTTTTGATTTATGTTTCTAATAAAATTTCAATAGACTTGCAATTTGTCGTTTTTGCATAGCAGCGTTGCCAGTCCGCCTCCTTGTCCTCTTGTAGTGCGTTGAGCTTACACCCGTCGCCCCTCTCTCTGACACTTGCCATGCTTGATGCCACGTGCGTCGGCCTGCACAGTGGTTGCATGTAGTTCAACATGACTTGAATAAGCAAATACAGTACAGCAAGTGTTTTCCATTTAATGAGTCATAAATATTTTTTTTCCTTTTAATATTTAGAAATTCGTTACTTTTTCTTTAATGACTCATTAAAAAATTGTTTGGTGTAACTGCATTAATATTCGTTTTAATTATTTTTCAATCGTAAATATTTTTACGATTTTCAAATAAATAATTTATTTTTATGGACTTAAATATTTATATTTTATTTATTTATTTATTTTTATATATATAGTAATTTATTTTTTTGATTACAAGATTAATTTATTTATAGAATATTTTTAAAATGTATTTTTATTAATTATGAATTTTATATACAATATTTTGTATAGTAATTTTAAAGATCTGTTTAAATAATATTTTTAATGTTACACATATGCTGCTCTTCTTATTTTAATTTTGCTTCCATATATTTTGTTCCACTGTGCGCCGCCTCTCACACATCAAAAGCCGCGAACGAACGCAAAAATATGCGAAACTTCAGCAAAGCCTTATGCTGAGCCATTCTCTCTCGTCCTCTCGCCTTTCGCAGCAGTGTTTTATGTGCCAGGACTTTTGTTGTTACTTAGCTCTCGCTGTTGTTGTTGTAGCTGTTGTTATGGCTGTTAGGCCTAGGTCCTGCGTTTGGGGCGGTCCTGTGTCCTGCCATACATTACAATGAAGTATGTGCGCCCGAATGAATGGTCGCTGCTCAGCTCTGACTCCTTCTGTTGGCCTGGCTGACTGGCTGCCTGGTTGCCCGCCTGATTGTTTTGCTTGGCGACCTTTTCACACACACACACAATTGCTTGACTACTTACATATGTGCTAGTACAGTGAAGACTTTGTTAAAGAACAGCTGCCTTGAGTAAATATTTGCTTGATTCTAGGCAAACTTTTGGCGAGCAGTTTAATATATTTTTGGTATTTATTGGGATGCCATTCAAAAGTACAGTGAAACAGCGCCTAATGAACGGCTGCTTGAAGCTCAACTGCTTAATTTTAGCAAATTTAGTTTACTATTTTGCTTGCCTGTGCTTTTTCTCAGCCAAATCTCTATTTATGGTTCACGGTAGGCAGCCTTCACTGTACTTATATGTAGGTATCTTTGCACATGGTCACAGACGGCCAGCAGTGGCAGTGGCTAATTATGACCCGCACGTTTTCAAAACAGCTGGGTCAGGGGGAGGGGAGCTGGGCGAGCTGAGGGCTAAGAGCAGCTGCCTTGCTCTGGCAGACGCTGGGGGAGGCTCTGGGGGCTGTCATCCTCCCCTTTCCTTGGCATACAAGTGTTTAGCTACGTTTAAATGTTTCCGGCGCTCACTTTTGTTTCGTGTCGCCTTCAGCCTTGGAGTCTATATTTGGCAACGCATGCAGCCTGACACTTTACCAACCACCACTCCCCCCTTCAAAGCCACCCCGCCCGCAGCCCCGCCTCTGCTCAGCTGTCGTCGCTCTGTTTGTTTGTTGCACTTTTATTGCGTTTTACCAGCTAAGTAGTCCTGTGTGTGAGCCATAAACATGTCGTCTTTCGCTTGATTTAGCGACCAGCCTGCCCTCTCTCTCGCTCTCTCACTCTCTCTCTCTTTCTCTGTGTGTGTGTGTGTGTGTCCTTTATAGCCTCTCTCCACTGTCAGCCTTCAGCCATTGTTGTGGCCGTCTAAGCTCTATGTCGCGCATACGTAACGCTCAACTGATCTGCTCGCAATAGACGCACACACACAATGGGCCAGCCCAGCTTGTCAAAATTTGTTGCGCCCCAAACGCTGTCAGATTTCTAGTTATGAGCTGACAATAACTGCCCATGCGAGGGTTGCCCCTAACATTGTTCGTTGGCTTAACAAGTGTTTTAAGCATTTGATGTTTGTCGATGAATGGATTGAAATGCGAGAGATAAAAGATAGATAGATAAAAGCGACGATCTCCGAAGAGTGGAGCTTTGCTAGTGGACATAGATTATTGAGTATATTATTATATATGAAGCTTTTCAGGGCTTTTATTCAATATTTGATTATGAATTTGAGACATTAAATAAACCATTCGCAAGCTTCTTGAATGTGATCTGTCTGCATTTCAAACGGTTCCTTCGACCGTTTCATCGTATCTCGAGAACTTTAAGAGCTATCGATGCAGCTTAATCAACAAATATATATAATATTTCGATATCGAAATTTGATACATTGATTCTTCTGGAATAGATCATACGAATATGAATATTAATGAATGAAGGTATGAATACCTAACCTTTTCCGTAAGACGTTCCACTAGATCACTCTCTCTCTCTCTCTGTCTCTCTCTCCCTCTGTAATACCTCCACACATTTGAGCTACTTTCCAAATTGTGAAATCAACCCTCGCAGTCATAAATCTGCCAGCTGTTTAGCTTGGCAATCTTTCAGATCTGCATACAAAGCCGCCGCCTGTCGCTGCCTGGTTTGGGGCGTTTTGAGTTATGCGCAAAGTTGGCCCAACTTGACTCTCGATAATAATGTGCTTTATTTACTTTTTATTCTCAGACCAAACAAAGAATGGCCTGAGCCGTGTTAGCCTGGTCAAATCGCAGAGCAGCGCCAAGCTGAGCCACAGCAATGAGGTCGCAACAGCAGCAGCAGCAACGGCAGCAGCAACGGCAGCAGCAACGGCAACAACGACAACAACTAGCTTACGCGCTGCCAAACTCAAGATCGAGGCCATGCAACAGCAGCGCGGCAGCAGCAACAGCAACAGCAGCAGCAGCAGCAGCGGCAGCAACAACAACAGCGGCAGCAGCAACATCATCTTGCTGCGCGGCACTCGCAACGAGAATGGACAGATCATCATACAGAACAAGCAGGATATACTCAGCCTGCTCAGCGAGCAGCAGCAGGAGAAGGCGACAGCCCTGACGCTCAATCAGCTGCCCACCACGACAACTGTGGCACGCAAAACGATTGTCCAGAGCAACAGCAACAGCAGTAGCAGCAGCAACAGCAGCAGCAGCAGCAATGGCAGCAACATCATCAACAGCTGCAGCAACGCCAGCAACAGCAGCTCGGGCAGCATCTCAATTGTAGCCAGCAGTGGCAAGGACACGAATACGATCCTGCTGCAGACGCCCATCAATGCCAGCCAGCTCGAGAGCGTGCTCAAGGCGCAGGTGAACAGCAGCAACAGCAACAACAATGCCACAAAGCTGATCGAGCGCCCCTTTATGCTGAAGCATGTAAGCATCATAGTCGTTAGCATTATTATTGCTCATTGAAATTTGTATTATTATTGGCAATTTTCTTTATCTTTATTATTGTGATTCATTGTATATACTTCTTTGTTTATTGTTCATTGTTCATTGCTCATTGCTCATTGTTCATTGTTCATTGTTCATTGTTCATTGTTCATGGTTCATTGTTCATTGTTCGTTGCTTATGGTTCATTGTTCATTGTTCATTGTTCATTGTTCATTGTTCATTGTTCACTGTTCACTGTTTTCTGTTCATTGTTCATTGTTCATTGCGCATGGTTCATTGTTCATTGTCCATTGCTCATGGTTCATTGTTCATTGTTCATTGTTCATTGTTCATTGCTCATTGTTCATTGTTCATTGTTCATTGTTCATTGTTCATTGTTCATTGTTCATTGTTCATTGTTCATTGTTCATTGTTCATTGTTCATTGTTCATTGTTCATTGTTCATTGTTCATTGTTCATTGTTCATTGTTTGTTCATTGTTCATTGTTCACTGTTCACTGTTCTCTGTTCATTGTTCATTGTTCATTGCTCATGGTTCATTGTTCATTGTTCTCTGTTCATTGTTCATTGTTCATTGTTCATTGTTCACTGTTCAATGTATATCATTATCATTATCATCATGATTATGATTGGCATCATCATTGGCATTATCATTATCATTACTCTACTTCTCCTCTTTCTAACTCTTTTTCACTTCCTCTTTCAGGCCTCTCGCAGTCTCAGCTCTGAGAGCAATTGCGACAGCAAGTCGCCCTTTGTGCTGCAAACGCTGAAGCGCCTGGAGAAATCACAGTCTATACTAGTCATACGCAACTCGACGTCTGCCGCCAACAACACGCCGCCGCTGCAGTTGAGCAGCAGCAGCAACAGCAGCAGCAACAAGAGCAACAACGCCAACAGCAGCAATGTGACGCAGCAGACGCATCTGCTGAGCGTTTCGCGCAGCTCGAAGGCGCCCAAAGCGGTGGCTGCTACGTTGCAGAAGCTGAAGGCGCCAGCGGCGGCGGCAGCGGCAGCAGCGGGTGGCACGACTATATTGAGACTGAGCAAGAGCGTCAACAAGCAGGTGGCAACAGCGACAACAACAGCAGTAACAGCAGCAGCAGCAACAGCAACAGCAGCAACAGCAACAACAACAGTCGTAGCAGCAGCAACAACTGTTGCCACAACAAATAAACTGTCCATGGAGCAGCAGCAGCCGCAAACGAATGTGCCACTGGGGAACGGTAAGTCTGACCAGCACAATAGCTTACAGAGAAGAGAAAGAGAGGGAGAGAGATAGAGACAGGAGAGAGCATTGCTATCTCTGCCTGCATTTGAGATGCGCCACATAAATCGACAGCCGCTTGTACAGGTGCACGGCTTGTCTGTCTCTGAGCGCTGCTTTTGTTTTCGGCCTTAAAAATTGACAACTGTCGAAACTGTATTTTGCTTTGCTGTTGCTTATTTCGAGGCGTTGCGCTTTAAAGCCGCAAATATCCTTGGCCACATATCCTTTCGGACTGAGCGTACGTGGCTAGCCTAACAATTATTCAATTAAATGCGAATAAACTTGGCCTCCGGCGGCCGCCAACCCAACTCTCTATCCTCCCCTCTCTCTCTCTCTCTCTTACACTCTCTTGTTCTGCATTTTTTCTTGCTTCTTGTCTCTAGTTGTAGTCCAGCTGTGCACGCGGTTGGTGGCTCATTGATTTTCACACTAGCCAAGCATTTGTTAGATACCCTGTAAGCACGTAAGCTTGCATGGGGTATATTGTTCTGCATACATCTTATGTTCATATGTGGGTATAGGTATTTGAAGACATTATAAAGGAGAAGGTATATGTATGTATACGTATAGATTAGATGTTAGGATTTCCTCAATATTTGTCAGAGATCTAGCTGTACTCAAAACTGATTCATAGATCATAAGAGATCTTTCTTTTTAATCCAAGCTGACCTCTTCAATACTGTTTCGATTTTTATATGATTCTACCAACACATAGAAAAAATATTATGTATAAACCTCTCTCTGTCTCTATCCACTAGTCTACAGGGTATCTCTCCTTTCACACCACCTTTCCTCTCTCCCGTACACTTTGACTCTTTAGCTCTTCTTGATGGCCTCTCTGGAGGGCAAACTGAAAACGTGGCTCAATTGGCTATTGCTGGTCCTTTGGGGGCGCCTTCGCGTTGCTTGTTGCAAGCAAACCAAATATATTCCTCTTCTTCTTCTTCTCAGCTCACAGTGTTCATTAGCGGCTGAGTTGCTCGTTGTGTAACCTGTAACGATTGCCAAATTAGTTCATTTGAGCATTAAGTGCTTAAGACCGACTCTCAAACATAATATTTGATTCGATTGATCCAATTGAATCTTCTTAAACTAAAACTTTCCTAAGTGCTCTTCAGCTCATTTGAGAAAGTTCGAAGCAAAGCCCAAAATGTGGAGCGACAAGCGCAATGATGTTGAAGCTGAAGCGAAATCTTAGTAAAAAAACCTATTTGAGATTTGAATTGAAGTTGTGTTTATGTGGAATTAAAGAATTATATTTTATATTTCTTTTAAAGATTTCCAGTTTTATCTCTAGGTTTCTTGAGAACTGATTATTTGTGTTTCGGTTTTAGAGCTCTTTTCCACTAAATCTTTAGGCCTTCAGTTGCTCCCTGTTTTCTTCCGTTGAATACTCCGTCTCCTTTTACCTACGCCTGAATCTCTTAGGATATTTCCTTACTTTATCTAAGATTTTTACTTTATGCCCTCCATATTTATTGAGTATACTTTCAAGTTCCTTTCTATGGAATTGGAACTGTTGCACTCTAGAAACGCTTGATAAGTTCATGTTCTTCTTCCTTCATGTTTATAAATCTTACTTCTATTTATTAAAAAGCTTTGTCTATGTGTTTGCTATCGTTTTTTGATGTTGAGTTCTTTATTCTCAACTCTATCTCAAGATATACATAAATATATTAAACACGGAAAACAACTGTTGTATAGTATAGATAAGGATGTAAGTATAGATAAGGATGCAAAATTAGAGAATCTTGGTTCTCTCTGCTCAATTTATAGCTAAAATACTCTTATTGAGCATAGATTATTTAACTTAAATACAAATAAGTTTCCTAACTATTTTAAACACATTTAACAGTTTATCAGCATTCTGAAGTAGTTCTCTGCGTTTCTATCTAGGGGGACTTGCATGGAGATTGTAGATTGAAGATTGTCGCCGTCGATTAGCCAAGTGGCAGCTGGCGTTCAAAATAAGTTGCACGTTTATGTGGAATGCCTCAGGGCAGCAGCAGCATCAACAGCAAAAGCAGCAGCAGCAGCAGCAGCTGAATTATTGCTGAGCTAAACAGAAAATGGCTTTTCTATGCGTGGTTGTTGTTGTTGCATAGAATTTGCGACAATTGTAGGAAGAGTTATTTGGTCTATCAGACCGTTTGTCAGTCTCGTTCTCTCTCTGTGTATGCGTGTGTGTGTGTGGAGGTGTTGATTATTGCACTCGATACAGAGAGGAAGAGAGAAAGAGAGAGAGAGAGACAGTGGGACAGTGTGAAGCGCCCTTTGTTTTTTTGGCCATATTTTTTTAGGTGCTGACAAGCCGAAACACTTGCAAAGAGCTGTTAAGTGATTTTTAAGCCAGATTTAAGTTATGGCCAAGACGATTGGGCTGTCACTATCCCTCTCTCTCTCACTCTCTCTGGGTGTGTGGGCGTGAAGTGGCTAAAAGTGTCGAGCTGTCGCGGCATATTGCAAACTCGAGTATTGCTGATGTTTCAATTGGTCTTTTGCCGAGAGACAGACAGCTAGGCAGGCAGGCAGCCGGACAGACAGTGGGACAGACAGTCGGGCACAACTTACTCATCGCTCATGCACTGCGAGAAAAATTGTAGTGGAAATGTATATCAAGTCAGAAATAGTTACTTCCCTTATAGTTAAAGAAACTACCAATACCACAAATATATAAGGTCTCTTTTGAGTAAACTTTTTTTTTTATCAAACGAGACTTGAAAATAGCTAAAATAAGCTAAACTAGCCAAATAGCTTCTATACTTCAAATTAAAATAAATTCTAAGCTCAATTTTTGCTTAAAATGCTTTCATTCCTTTGCCGTTACCTAAAATTTTTAACAGTGTACATTACTTTCTATGCCCAAAAACACATGTGTATATGTGTGTGTCTATGAGTGTACTGTGTGCTAAATGCAGACATCCGTGAGATACTTATCTGATTTGCAGCTAACAAAGTGCAACACACGCCGCCTCAGACCGTTTGCATTGCATTTTATTGATAAAACTTTGGCTAAAATTTTAAATAATTTTAATTTAGTTTTAGTTTAGTTTGAGGCCATATTGTATTTGTTATGCTCATTGTTGTTGTGGTGGCTTTTTGGCTTTATCATATGGAGTAAAGCCATTAGCTAAAAGGCGCCCAACCTTCAAAAAAAAAAAAAAAAAAAAAAGCGCCGAAAATTTATTTGATTCTGGCATTTCTATTTCTTTTGGCACTGCTGGGGTCTTCGAATGAAGGGTATATTGACTTAAGGATAGATTTTGCTGTGGACAGGTATATGTAATACCATATAAGCATATGTATATATTTAATAGCTAGAAGTAGACTATATACTAGAATCTATGCCAAACAAAAAATGTCGTTTCTCCTAACAGCCATGCGAATATTGCATTTATATTTAAGGAAGTATCAATAAGTAGCTTGGGATACCAATTTGCTCTCTTTAATAATTTTTTAATGGAATTCCTTTAGTTTTCTGAGCATCGTGAATTTCAATTTTGTAGTCTTCTTGTGAAAATCTAAAGCTAATAATTGATAAACATCAGTTTCCCGTCTGCACTTACACTCTATAGGGTATTTTTTAGTCAGTCACTGCATATGCTCATTTTTTTTGCACTATTTTTTCAACTTCTTTTGCCACACATTTTTTTTTTTCTATTTTGAAGGTAAGCAAATTAAACAAATTACCAACAAACAGGCGGCTCAGGTGTGAGCCCCTCCCCCTCACTGTAAGTCGCTCGTCCAAAAGTATCTATGAGATACTATATTTTTTTTTTTTTTGCATTTCGCATGCATGCGCGCGTCATGTGAGCAAAGTTCTGTGATTTTTTTTGCAGTTTGTTTTTATTTTGCCCATTCGTTTTGATTTTTTCACTTTCTGGTTTTTTTTCTTGAAAAATCCTTTTGGCTCGCTTCATTATCATTTTTGTTGCTCTTCCTTCGAGCACATAATTGCCAAGAGAAATAAAGGCAAACTTTTGCACAGCAAAAAAATGGAAAACAAAAGCTAGAAAACTTTTGCATTTCCGTTGTTATGAAACTTGAGCCAGTGTTGAAAAACAGCTAAAAGAACTGAGCGTACAGAAAAAAAAGAATCACCAACAGAAAAACTTTTTTCCCATATATTTTTTTTGGCTAAAAAATTATGATGGGTCGGCGCCTGGCACCACTTCACACATACACACATACACACACACACAAGCAGTGTGTATGAGAGAGAGAGAGAGAGAGAGGGAGAGGGAAAGAGTGAGTGCGATTTGCCGTGTGGGCGTCTAATTAGTTAATCCCTTTGGCTAATTGCCTCACTGCCACGCCCACCCTTACACAGCTCGCCTTCTCATTTCTATTTCACTTGTCTCTTCTTTATTTTTGTTTTCTTTCTTTTTGATAATTGTGTCGCAAGTTTGAAATTTGTCGTTAACTTTTTGTTGCATGCTTTCAGTGTGACCATATTTGCAGTGCCCTGATTTGCTTTGCCACACACCTGCCACACCTGTCAAATGGGTCTCACAAAGCAATTGAGCGCAAATAGACATTCGCACACAAAGTGTTGCATTAAGCAAACAAATTAATGAATTCTCTGATTTGTATTTGCTCTACAGTTAGATATGGTCGCATGCTTAGAGAGAAAGAGAGAATAGAGAAAGGTAAAAGGATGGCGAATACGCTCTTCAGATAGCTGTCGGTAGGATATGTGAGAGAAAGCCCCAGTTATTGCAGCTTTATCTGTATAGACCTAAGAATATCCTTAAGAATATCAAAAGAATATCGTAAAGGACTATCGATTGGCATTTCAGGATTTTATGAAATCCACAAACAAATTTCGCCTGAGATTTTTTACAACGGACATGGTAGAAAGTTTGCTAAAAATGTCAAAAAGGAAAAAGGACCAAAGGGAAACATTTTTGAAAGAAGAGTGTCATCGATCTCTAGATTAAGAATTAACAATTGAAG